TGAGCTTAGAAGTATATGCGAATTGGTCCTTTTAGTGTGAAGGAAAGGGGTGTATTTATAGGGAGAATGGAGCATGTAGGGATGTGTACCCGATCGAGCATATTGGGCACCCAATCGGGTACCTTCAGTAGCTTCCCGGAAGCTGAAAAAGTGGGACATATCTGACCGGGTACATCAATTACCCGATCGGGTACTACACTTAAATGTGGTCAAATATCCTCCTGCACGTTGCCTTGTTCCCTGATTTGATTCGATTTGATTTTTCAGCAAGGTACCAGATCAGATATAGGGTATACCCGACCGCGTACAGGTCAAAATTCAGAATCCTCTATTTTTGTCTTGTAATCTTTCACCTTCCTTCCACTTTTGTGATCATGGATCTGTTTGAGCTCAGAATAAATCTAATCTAAACAAATTACAAATATTTTACAAACTAAACTATTATACCAAAAGTTTGTAATTGCCAAAGTAACAATCAATCAAAACTAATTACAAACACAAACATAAACATGGAAATTACATGAATGTCAAGGTCTGAGGCGGAAATGCTGAATAATCACATATTATATTAATGTGATTTTTATAAAACGTAAAATGCATATAAACATACAATATGGGAAACAAAGCTACTTAAATCCCTTCTCAATTTACGACCAAAAAGTAACTCTTCTCAATTTATTTTTCTCTTTTTATATCCCGACTCAATTTTTTGTTTATTCATCATAAAAATACCTATATATTTAACATTATTGTAGACATTAATGCAATAAGATAGTTTGAAGTAACCCTGGTTTGAAGTCGGGGGCAAACATCGAACGCTAGGAGTTGTCGTTTCAGCATTTCAGAGTTGTGCACTCTCATCTTTGGTCGCACATTGGGGTAAGTTGTTGGAGAGGAAAGGGATGGGAAGGTGTGGAAACCCTTCTTATTTGGGAGTAATAAATTTGAAAATCTAGAATCTTACAAGAAACATTTTTTATTAAAATCACTTCTGAGATATGGTGAACTCAAATAGTTGAAGTGGTATTCATTTTAATATGAGTTTAAATTATCATTTATTTAGTCATCCTTCAAAACCCTTCATTTTGGAGGAGCTTAAAAGATGAGTATTTGTGAGGTTTTTTGCGGGTCACAAAAAGTCAAAAACCTTCCAAAACCATTTCCCCACACTTTTAAAATCACAAACACAAAAAGGAGGGTTATCAATCCTCAAACACATCCTTAGGGTATGTTTGGGAGTTTGGAGGGAAGGGGAGGGGAAGGCTTTGGGAGTAATAAATGTGGAAGAAGGGAGTTTTTGAATGAATTATAATTAAAATTAATTTGAGATATGATGAATTCAAATAATTGAACTGATATTTATTTTTAATTGAGTTTAAATTATCACTCTGTTAATTATCCTTCAAAACTTCGAAATTGAGGGAACTAAAAACCACCCCCTCCAATTTTATAAACTCGCAAACAGGAAAAGGAGGGTCATAAACTCCCTATCAACCTTCCTCTCCCTCCAATATCCAACTCTCTAACACACCCCTATGGGAATCCAATTGGAGGCACTTCTGTTAGATAAGCGCCACATGCGTTTTGATCCGATTACAAAATAGATGTATGGGGTCATCTCTAATGCCATATAGACGGTGTAAGGTGTAACGAACAAATTGTATTTATTGATAGCAATCCGTATATATACTACAACTCGCATAATTAATAGTCATACTTTTTATTTTGAGAAATAGGACAAATAAGATCTTGAACTATTGCCGATTCTGCAACTAGGCCCCTGAACCAAAGACTTGCAAATAAACCAATCAACTCATTGAAAATTAAGCAATAACATCATTTTTACCTCCCGATGCAGATAAAGAGATGACTTTCTCATGAGAAATTACCGGCACTAGCAGAGTAGCAAGCATAAAGGATATCATCTAATTACATAATTTTTAATGAGTTGAAAGGTGTACTTGTAAGTCTTTCAATTCAGAAGTCTGATTGCAGAATCGCGAATAGTTTGATATCTTATTTACCACTTTTCACTTTTTGTTTTAACATATGATGTAACGGTTGAATCACATCTGAGCAGGGACGGGTTTAGCATTTTGGAGGCCCACGGCATATGAGAAACAAAACTATTCAAATCTCTTCTCAATTTACGATAAAAAAATCTCTTCTCAATTAATTTTATTTAATTTTCTCTTTTTATATCCCAACACAAATTTTTGTTTATTTGTCATAAAAATACCTATATATTTAACATAATTGTAGATATTATTATATTAATGCAATAAGATAGTTTGAAGTAACCCTGGTTTTTTTCGAGGATCCACCATTGCGGAGGGTAAACATTGGGGAACATTTAGCTATTTTATTAAAATCTCAAAGGGGAAAATACATAGAGCAAATGAAATTGAAAGAAGGAAGGGGGAGAAACTAACGGGCCTGAAGTAAAAAATTAAGAAAACTCTGTATAAAGTTCAAATGAGCCCTTATATAGGAGATTTTGTTCGACCGTCGCCATTTGGACAGTTCCCGGTGGATTTTTTTGATGAATGTTTTTGAGCATCTTATTCATTACGTCTATTCTGATGAATGTTTTGGCAGAAATGTGTGGACTGGTCTGGTCTATTCCCGGGAACACTTGATGAATGTTTTTACTTGGATTGTAATTTTCTGGTATGGTCTGGTCTGGTTTCTTTGTATTTTTATAACTATCCAAGTCTGGTCTGGTCTGTTATGGTTTGATATGGTCTGCTCTGCTCTGAGACAAATTACGGTCCAAGTAAAAACATCCTAAGTTACCACAACACTACGTTGTAGTAATGAATAGTCATATTTATATAAATAAGTTTTATTTTAGTAATATTCTTATAAAAACCCCTTAGATTTTTGAGATGGGAGTGAGAAGTGGTAATGTTTTTGGGTATATATAGGCGGTATAGCGGGTATAAGGTGGACGGAAATGATCAAGACCAGCCCTCCCTTGTCCGGCCGTCATCCGAACTCCGCTGTTTGGGGCTGTTTCCGGTAGACTTTTTTGATGACATTTTTTTAGCATGTTCCTCATCAAGTCTAGTTTGTCTATACCAAATTTAAGCTTAAAATTCGATCGGGAAGGCATTCAAATCATATTTTGAAGTTGACTGCATTTTTATATGTATATTTTAGCGCAGTCAACTTCAAAAAATGATTTGATTGCCTTCCCGATTGAATTTCGATCTGAAATTTGGTATGGACCAACTAGACTTGATAAGGAACATGCTAAAAAAAATTCATCAAAAAATTTCACTAGTGACCGCCCCAAACGGTGGAGATCGGACGGCGGCCTGACAGGGGAGGGCTCGATCTAATCATTTCTCAAAAGGTGGATATAAAAATGGGTACACTACAAAGACAATTTTTGTATTGGCATTGCTCTGTCACGTAAATTTGTAAAAATTGAATAATAAACTAAAACAATCGCAATGGAAGTTTATTCAAAATAGAAAGGAATAATATGAAACACTAAATGATTAATTAATTAAAAAAAACTCATAAATATTTTTTTATCGTCAAAACGGAATTCATTAAACTAGAGCAAACATGCAAGACAATATTCAGACAGCTATTACATATCCAATCATAAGCCCTAGGAATAGACTTAGTGTCAATCACTCATACAAAGCAACTTGACTCGCTAGACGCAAAACAAACAAGAGTAAGCCTAAACGATGAAAATGAAGCACCGTCTATCAAAAGTTCATCACAAATCAAAATACTCCAATCATACATCTTTGAACTAAAATAAAAACAAGTACTACTAAAAGAAAAATAATACGAAAATAGATACTTTCCCCAAATTGCTTCTTCGCGTGGAGGTGTTCCAGAGGCGGAAGAGCTACTATAGTATGGGAGAAGAGAATTTCAACATCTGGAAAATTTGTATAAAACCCTATATATCCTTCTTGCACTCGCCAATTTGCTCCTTGAAGTTTGCCATTGAAATCAATGTCCAAGGTGCAAAGAAATCTCGATCATGTTGCCTTGTATGTTTTTCTCCCTCAAAAATCCAAGCCGCCAATAATATAACAAACTGAGCCCTGCCTACAATTGGCCGCGATCGAGACCACAAGTGGGAAAGCCACGAACCCCAGCTAGCCGCAAACTGAACCTCCTAGCCTTACCATGTCCGCACTTCGTCAAGAACAAAAGCGGAGAACGGGCCTCTACCACAGCCGCACTTCGTCAATGTTAAGACCCGGGGTTACATCCTAAAATGTCAACCTGATAGGAGGAGTAGCTCATGTGTTAATATAGCATTTTGTTCAGTAAAAAACGAAAGCAGAGAAAATGAAACCCTAGAGAGGTGAGGAAGAGCCATCTTTTTTAATTCTATTAGTGTGGATGCGATTGAATTACAATGATTGTACTTTTTTTTGAAAATCAAATAACTTAATTATTATTGATAAGGGTAACCAGAAACATAACAATCAAAAGTCGAAGCATTACAATCACAGCGTTTAATGCTACATTAAGGTGAGACAAAGAACAAAAAAGCCATATAAAAGCTATAATGTTCGCTAACTCTGCAACTGTGTAGACTCGTCCCGCAATTTGACTGCTTGTGCTACTCGAAATAGGTCCGGTTTGACAAGCCACCGAAAAGGATTTGTTAAACTTGCCGGTTTTTCCAGCCACCGGTAAGGAGCCAAGTGCAGAAATTATTTCGGTGTAACCAACCACCGGAAAGAAAGCAATTCATTCACTCTCATCTTCCTTGATCGGCGGTGGTTCAGGAGGGGGGCGATTAGCCTCTATATTGATACAGAAGATCATGATCGATAGAGAAGCCAGTACACATCTCTTACTAACACCCAAGAACACCCCGACCGATGATGGCAGAGAATATAAATCTGGCGAGCGACACTTCGCCACCGAAAGTAGTATCTCTAGACAACGCTAGGAAACAGACGTATACATAGAACTGAAAATATTGGTCTAACGAAACTTTTTTCATTATTGGGAGAAAAAGAAAATTGAACAAAGAGAGAAGAAGGAGAGGAGGCGGCTAGGATTTCCCTCAGCCAATTGAACCACACTGATTGTATTATTACTCAACCAATAGAAAAGTACCAACATACGTAGTAAGGAGTAATAATTATTTGGTTGGTCAACCGTCAAGGTTTCTCGAAGATGGATCGGAGTCACACAAAAGGTAATCCGTCTGTAACTGATTGGTAGAATTGAAGGCCAGACCACCGCACACCACTATAAGCCGCCGGCTATATGAAAGCGACGTCGAGTTCTCATTACCAAACCAAGCCGTAACGTTCACCCCTAACCTCGTCTTGACGACGGCTTCATTTATTCGGGAAAACCAGAAGGAGAAGTCCTGGTCAAGAGGCACGCCTTGGGCATGAAGATTGTAGGTGAAGAGGGCGGAAGCGTGGCGAGGCTGGCATTGTCACGGCGGAGGCCAGCGGGTTCCGGGTTGAGCGTTTTCTCACAAAGAATGACACCTCCCCGCCGCCGTAGCAAAGGGTGTGGTTTTTGTTGGGGTTGGAGGCATTCAGGGTGAAGGTGAAGTCGGCGGTGAAGATCTTGCGTGTTGCTTCGCCGGTAATGCTAACGTTTGTCGCGACGGCATCCGTGAAGGAATATTCCGGTGGCTTCTGATCTGATGAGTTCTTGCCCGACGACCGAGACCCGTAGATGGACCATAAGACGATTGCGGCTATCACAACGACAATGCCCACTACAACTACCAAACACTTTTTCTTTCCCATCCTTAGTTTGATGAATATTCATCAAACTTTTTTTTTTTTTCAAAAAAAGATTGATGAATATCTATATTCGATAGACAGATCTCAGCAACTATATTGCCTGTGTATATATATTAAAATATGGAGGTAATTAAGAGTTCTATTAATAATCAATATATATATATAAAAGAGGAACTTTTTAAGAGCATATGGCGCGCCACATAATCCTGCCATGTCATCATATATTACAATTATTTAATTACTATTTATACATTTTATTGTTTTTATTACATTCTATTTTTATTGCATATTGATATGGAAACAAAAGATCGTATGATAGAATCCACCTTATTTGGTAACTTTTTTAGAATCTACTACTTACTCCGTATTAATATGGATATTTATTAAATTATATATAAAAGAGGAATTTTAAGAGCATTTGGCATGTAAGCTAAAACCGGGATTAGGAGGTTGTAAATAGATCGTTATGACTCATTTGATTGTTTTTTACAAGTAGAGGTACTTATATGACACTTTATTAAGTACATCGCCTTATGTGACTATTTCATAATAGTAGAAGGTCTTATTTGACCCTTTTCTCTTTTAAGAGTGTTCCGGATTTATGTTTTCTTTTGAACTGAAATTTGTTGGTCCGGTCAAAGCTGATCTTGTTTGGTCTGGTTTAGTATGATCTGAACTGATCTGATCTGGTCTGATTTGGTAATTGTCTGGTCTCTGAGTATTTTATAACTATCCAAGTCTTGTCTAATTTGGGACTAAAAACAGAAAACATCCCAACCCCTAATTTTTTACTACGTACGGAGTAGTATTTATGCTCGTTTCTCACCTTATCCTCCCTCATTTCTGGTTTTCGACAAAGTCCTACGAGCCACACTTCCCTTTCGTTATGAAGTAGAGGGCCAGGTGTGTGGTGGCGTCGTGGCGAACCGGAAATAAGGCACAACAGAGAAGAGAAACAACACTGTCAGTTGGTGAGGTGGCAGCGGCTGCACAATGACGCGGCAGCAAGATAGAGGAGGAAATTCCTGGAAAGTTTCCTCCTTCGATTTCTTCTTTCTGCGACTTATCTTTCTTCTTTGTGCACAACGACCCTTTTTTGCAGCGTGAAGTTGCGAGCTGCCAGATCTAGCTATACTTTTGACTTTTTTTTCTATTTTTTTGGGTCAAATGCATAAATGATACTTTAATTATTGCTATTATTGTATTTTGATACCCTAACTCTTAAATAAATCAAATTAGAACCATAATTGTACATCAATGTTTCAATTGAAAATATTATTCGAATTTGCCCGCTAACATTTTTGGGTCGGGAACTAGTCACGAATAGAATCCGCGACAAAAGTTTCAAAAAGATTTATTTTTATGTTTGTCACGGACAAAGCCGTGACAAACTATTGGATATTATGTTATTAGTTACTTAATCACTTGTTTATGATGTGTCGATGTGTTGTGACCAAGTGCACTGCCATGTTATTGTCAAATTTTGTTCTGTTTTTTTATTTGTTATTTGATGTTTTTGGTTTTGCAGTGCAGGGGCAAAGTCGTCAAACGGTTTCGCGACTTATAAATCTCTATCCCGGTTGGCGACTTATAAGTTACCAAACCGTTTGGCGACTTTGCATAACCCATGTTAAACCCAGCAGTAGATCTGTAAATACTTTTAACCCAGTTTTGTTTACATAAATAGTTTTTTAATTCGACATAAGTATAGTTTTATTCCCTAAGTAAGACTATTTTTCCAAATTACCCTTCATTTTTTTTCAATCGCATATTGCAATAGACATTGTTCATCATCTTCTCCGATGTGCTCATCATCTCTCTCAGGTTGCAAGGGCGATACTTTCTTCTCCGCTCATCATTATCGATTGTAAGCCTGTAACGACGAGCTTCTCGGTGTAGCGACCAGCGACGACCATCGAGCTAGGAAGCGTCTACTAATAGTGTATCCAAATCTGGTGGCCTAAGTGAAGTAGCTCGTTGTTCTCTCCTCCTTCCTTCTCCTTATCCTCCTTCTCTTCTATTTTTCTCTCTTCAACTCTTCTGTTTCATTGCAGGTTCTAGCTCAAAATTTGAGATGCTTTTTTAATTATTTATTTTTTAAAAATACCAAATTATACTCTAAGAATGCTATAAGGATAGCATTATTATTCTTCAAAAATGTCATATTTTCATCTAGCTGGAAATGTCTGTTGGGTGTGTTTCGAAAAACAAAGAAAATTAATTAATAAGAATTAATTAAATAAACGACTAAAAGAAAAACAAGAAAAAAGATGGAGCAGAAACTAGTCAAAGCTCGTGCTACGCACCATTTCCTTAAAACGTATCTGTTGCCTCCCGGGGTGCTAGGAGCGTTGCAACGATCGTTTCCCAGGATACGATGACTACGAACGATAGTTTAGCAGTCAAACTAGAGTTCCAACGAATGTGAACAAAGTCGGAACATAGAAGGAATTTTCAGAGATGGCTGGAGGGTTCTTTCGAGCTAAAGAGAGGTGCAGTACGTTTGTGAAATTTTGTATGTTTGCAGAGCAGCTACCAGCCTTTTATAGAGGAGGATTTGGGTGTGTTAATGGCTGTTTAAGGCTCATGAACGTTGGACTTCAATGTCCTAAACGTTGGGCATTGATTCCAGCCAAAAGCAGTTCATTTCGTGTGCATTAAGGCCATGAACGTTGGACATTTATACTGCAACGTTTCAGTTCAGTATGGAGCAAAAAATAAAATAGGAACGTAGCGGAAGAACACAAATAAACTTAACGTTATCTTTAGAAGATAAGATTTTCGGACGACATTCGTGTCCGCAGGTCGCCCGCGCACGCAATTCGCGCATTTTGTTCTCCGGTTTCGGGATTTGATTCGCACCCCCCACCCCCGCGCGCGAGAGAGAGCCTTTCCCTTCAGGAATCTTAACTCCTTAGGCGGGGTTTCCCTATATAAAGGGTTCAAATTCTCTTGGGTTTTCCCGTGTGGGAAAAAACCACACTAGAAACCCACATTTTTCCTAGTTTTTCTCCATTTCAACGAGTGAACTTCGAGAATCAATTTCTCATTCACCCGTTATCCATTTTGAGTGTACCATATATCGAATTGTAGCCCTAAGCAAGGAAAATCCGAAACCACTTTGACCCGACCCAAATCGGAAGTGGACCCCACTCAAAAAAATGCCCCAAAATGACCATTTAATGCAATTTATTAACACATTTTCCAACAATATCATTAAGATAACGTTATTGGTTGAAGTTCGCATTTGGAGAAAAATGTTGACATTTTTTTGCTCATCGTCAATAGTACTGGTCCTAGATGGTGTCGGCGGCGCACAGTGGCAGAAGATGTCAGCCTAGTCTTTTACTTTTATGATTTTTATAAATAAAACCACAATTTTTTAATATTAAAGTATGTTAAGGGTAGAATTGGCATAAAGAATACTCATTACTCCTATGATGGGAATTTAAAACTTTTTCTCATATTCTTGCAATTTAATTTTTGTTTACTCCTAGAGAACTCCAAGAAACTAATAAGCCCAAAGAACTAATAAGTCATATACTCCTTAAATACATGACAAGCCGAAAAGACATTTGTATAAGTTTTTTAGTAACGGTAAGCTTTTAGTAACTGTCAGCTTTTAGTGACTGAAAAGATCTTAAAAGAAAATGTGGTAGTTGTTTGATAAAAAACTGACTATTTGATTTAGTTATGTTTGGCATGCAAGCTCTTGAGATTAATTAATGCTAAAAGCTACACACTTTTGCTACTTGCTGTAAAAAAAATTGGCATGCCAAACATTCAATTAGAAACTGTTAGAGAATTTTTAAACAATACAAAAGCTAGAAAGTAGGCATTTATGCCTACCAAACATGCGCGTAGTGCTATAAGTCAAGTCATATACTCCTTGAATAGTTTTGCTAAGACAAAGTATAGAAGTCAAGACATATATCATTCTATCTTTGAATTCCTGACATTGAGGCTAGCTTTCCCTCTACTACATCTAAGAAATCGATCAGAACTGGAGAAGGCATTGTTGGGGGAACTGAAGGAAAACTGTTCAAAGGCTAGGCTCGTGGTGTGTCACTGAACTATGATGCTATGAGGATAAAGAAGAAATAGCAAGCCTTAGCTTGGTTGACATTCATATTGAAAAGCTTTATCCTTTGGTTATGATATGCTTGAGGAATACAACAGCCAGTCAGCCACCCCATAGAAAGCGAAGTAGCCAGCTATATATTCTACATTGATATGGAAGATCCTGCTGTTTTTGCTACTCTGATCTAGTCTATAATCAGTTGAGCATCCATTTTTCAAATTTACAGTTTCATTTGAAATGTGTGTGTCATAGGCAGAGTTAGGGGGTCAAGCTAGGTCCCGTCTCATTCCAAATTTCAAAAACATTTTAAATAATATAGTGCAAAAAAATTTATGTCAGTGTATAACTGACTTTGTGCATATGTAAGTGTATAGCTCGGTTACATGCATATATAAGTGCATAATTAACAGACCGACCACTATATTGATTGCTATTAAGTGTTTGAGTTTTGAAAAAGAAAATGATGGTGCTAAACTTATAATGTCTATGTATTATCTGGAAGATAAAAAATGACATTTGTTTTGCCTGCAAATTAAACCTGTTATCAAACAAGAAGTCAGTGTTAACAATTTTATCCAGTCTTCTAGCTAGTTGCCAATTCTTTGCTTATATTTTGCATGGCTATGCACCATTTAATCGTACACAATTTGTAGTTCTGTCTAAATTTTCCTTTTGCCCAAAAAAGATAAAAATAAATACTCCCTCCGTCCCTAAATTTACTTCCAACTTTCCCTATTCGTCCGTCCCTGAAAGAACTTCACTTTCCCTTTTGGTCAAAGAATTTGTGGTTCACTGGTTCACAGCATTTCTCTCTCCTCTGCACAACTGTCTACCACACAATTGTCATTTTCTTAATTCGCGTGCCACTTTACATTGGAAGAATATTTTGGGACGGAGGTAGTACTTAAAAAGCAGTGCACACTCACTTTTTAGTTCTTAATTAACCGGCTCGGCATTTGGTGACCAGAACAAAAACTAGAGTTGTGTGATAATGATGAACCTCGG